CCAGTCCAGACGTTTATTCAAATTAAGACACAACTACAGGCTATATTATATGGACGAGAATAAATATAAGTACAGTTAAACGTCTTACGAAAGCCTCGAATAATAAAGACATTTGTGTCACCGATCTAGTTATAGTTTTAGCACGCCTGTACTTTACTGTCCATTGTGTCAGTAGCTGAATATGAAACCCGTACCCTCGTGTCTCAATCGTTAAGCGTCACTATATGTATAAATAGCAATCGCGTTAACGCAGTTGGACGAAGCAGAAAGGACAGTCGCGCAAACTGGTTACTAGAGTATAAATATTACACGCATACCTACTTTATAAATCACCGCGAGAAAAACTGAACCAGTGGTATATAATAAAAATCGAAACTCGGTAACCGATTAAAGAAAGTAAGATTGCTGGCTCGATGTTAACGCGACACATAAAATGTAGCTAATTTTCCTGCGAGCACCAGGTCCCCGTGAATTGCTCGTTCTTTTCCGATCTAATTGCTCTCGCCTGCTCGCCGCGCGGCAGATTAAGAGAGGAAAATCCAGTAACCGGCCGCGTCATTCCTCAACGGGTGTAATGAACATTTCCACGGTTACGCGAGCCGCGCGTGTCATTAATTCCGCGGACGGAGTTTCGCCGCGCGGACTCTGTCCCGTTCAATTTCATTAATCGCTCCGGCAAAGCCGAGCCCTGCCCCCGTTCTCCTCCGTTCCCGGATTCACTTAAATCTCGTACGTGCCTGACCCACCCCTCTGATAAATCTGTTCCTAACGGGGCTGCACTGCCGCCGATTCGTTCGCTCGTTCCAACTATGCGGCGCGCTGCGCGAAGTCGATAGCGCGTGACTTGCAATTAGATCAACGGTTCTTAATTTTGATATACTGTTGTAAAAAAATGGGTAAATGTACAGATACAGGTCGCCTCTCTGATTTCAATGACTTTGGCATACGTTGTACAGTTTACGATTTTAAGCTATTTTATCCTTTGCAAATATTCGCAAAAACCTATTTTCACTTGTAACTTTCAATCTTTTAACAACGCCTTCGGCCTTCGACCTTGCAAATATTATATCTTGATACAACTCTACTAACCGGCATTACAATAAAAATCTTTTGGACAGTTCATATGGTTGCTATGTCTGTTGCTCTCTGCGTTGCAACTACATGACTTATGTCAGCGGAAAAATTTAGTCTTTCACACTCTATTTAAACGAAATTTATTACTTCAACTTCGGTTATCTGTACATTTACGACGAAAATAAATTAAGAACCGTTGACTTCCTAGATAACTTTTGATAAAGGGAACTAAAATGAGTGGTTGTTTTATTGGTCCAGCATTCTTAATTATCGCTTCAAAAATGGAAGTTAATTTTCTCAAAGTCTAAGTGAGAACAGCAATAGCTCGCGGTGTTGGGCAGGAGAGATATTAACAGATCAATAAGAATAAGGAGAGACTGACCAATGTAGCTAGAAGGGAAGAGAGATACAAACCACCGAAATGACAGTAACTATACAGAGCATTAAAAGAAACTGGCGAGTGTAACTTGCGAGAAAGAAGGGAGAGATTAAAGTTTCAAACTATTAATCAGTTTTTTGACTTAGGACAACCTTGCTCCATTTTGTTTATCTCTGAAAAGAGGTAAAATGTTAAAAGAGGAAGTTTAAATAACGCGTCGACTAACTCGTTTGAATCTTAAACATGAAGCGTGTTGAAGCTCGTAATTTCCAAAGTTACATTTTAAACGTTCAGTGTAATTTATAAAAAATTTGCTTAAAAAACATAATGCCGATTTGTAATTTGATATGACTATAAAATTGGAATCAAAACACTTCAAGAGCGTGAAGCGGGATAAACGGGATTTTTTATGCGTTAACGAAAAGGTTACAAAGCTCTGATTCACGCTGTCGGACGACGCGTTAATGACAGAAACAAGGTCTCGTTATTCGCTGGGATCGCGTTTGACAAAGGATCTTCCGGAGCGAAACACAGTAAGAGCAAAAACCAAAACACCCAGCTAGCGGTAAATGTTCCAAGCGAGATGTATGTATATGTACGTACATACATGCGTATGAATTTTCATGGAACTTGACGCATCTTGCGCGAAACCATACCCTCGTTGTTAAAGGAAAAAGAGCAGTTTAAACGTAACAGCGGGTCAGTTATCACAAAGGACCATATAGGAATTACACAATGGAGGAGAAAATAAGCGAAAGTTGCGTCTCGTGAAAAATCGTACAAAATAAAGGCTGCCTGTGCAGTTGATCCTCGACTTAGAGAAACGCCTTCCCGAATGGTGTACCAAAAATCAAGGATTCCAATAAGATCATTAATTAAGATGGAAATTAGATAAACTTTGTATCGTTGATAAGAATCAATGTACAAGATTAGAAGTACCTAATTTCCGTTTACACTTAACTAAAAGAGATAATCAGGAAAACCATACAATCTGGTATGAAAATAATTAAAGTATTTTTCTGCTCAGAATCCTTTTTACCGGTACACCATTTAATATTGATTAACCGTATACACAAAAAACTTCCCGAGTTCCGCGAATATACTTTTTAAGGAAGAAGAAAAAGGTCGCTGTGGTTTAGATCGATTCCTGAAGAGCGGAAAACTGAAATCAGGAAAGAGGGGGAGAGAGAGAAAGAGAGAGAGAGATGTATGCGTCTGTATGCGTTCAGGGAAGCTTGGTGATTGCGATCAGACGAGCTAGGTGATCTACCCGATCGATTCCGTAAAACGAGTTAAATTGACATCGGTCTCTTCTGCCTGGTATCGCGGAACGCGTAGAAAGTCACCGTGATATGCGTATCTATACACAGTTACTGCGGCAAACGCGCGTGTGTGTACGACTTAGCCGCGGAAGCAACATCGTGGAAGTTCTCCACTTAAAGTTAATCCGAAAGTTATTTCTCCGCAGCCGGAGAGAAGAGGTCCTTAGACCGAGTCCGCCGCCGTTGCCGTCAGGAACTTTAAATGCGTTTTTCTGAAAACGTATCTCGAACCCCCGACGACGATGGCGGTGTGCCTATTTCGATTCGAGCATCTCCGTGATTCTTTCGCGTTATACGGCGTTTTTCCGTTCTCTCGTTCTATTCTCTCCCGAGTTTCTTTTTCTTCAACCTCGTTTCTCCGGCGGCGTCGTGACAGACAACGGGGATCGTGTTCGCTACCGGTTCGCCAACGGCGATAGCGTTAATGGATACGGTTTCGATTCGTCATCGCGATTATCTTTACCAATTATTCACGCTACTAGCACGGCTGATCGCCGTCGCCACCACCGTCGTCGAAACAGGAGAAGATCCGCGTTTCTCGCGAAACTAATTTCTGCCGAGCGAACTATTAATCACAATGACGGAACGCGTGTCGCGACTGATCAACGAAATCCCACGCCATCGTCTTCTCTCTTTCCTCTCCGTCTTCTTTATTTGCTTCGTTCCTCGGAATCGAACGACTGGACCAACGAAAGCGGCAGGTTCCCGGTATCGCCGCGTTTCGTTCAAATAACAGAAAGGGCAAGGGAATAAAGAAACGAATGAAGACTAGAAATAGGAATCCATAGGATGTCTCTGGGAATCTGGAGATAAAAAATCTCGTGGGACGTAGACGACGCGCGAAAATACGCGTGAACGCGTTTATTCCACGTCGTTTGTACATGTATTTCATGTGCAAGTGTATACATATTTATGGATGTGAGTGCTTGCGTGCTTATGTATGTCTGAGACCTCGAAGGAGATCGGAGGAAATGGAGTGGATGTTCGCGAGGACCGAGATAGAGAAGCGACCGCTGAGTTTGCGATTCTCCCTATCGCTCTGATCCACTGCGAAATACGCTCTTCAATGGTCAAGCAATTGGCCAGTTCGCCGGACCATATGAAGTCGTCCCACTCCTTCCTCATTTTCCCTCCTCCCCTGGACTTATATATTGTATATAAATACATATATATATATGTAACATATATATATATGTATTCTGCGTTTATTTCCTCGCGATTTCGACTCCATGCTCTTTGCTCCATTTCCGTGGATGGACAGGGATGGAAAAGGAATGGCGAGGCGTCGAGGAAAAACTGATGGCCTCAGTTCCTTTTTATTTTTTTCAAGATCAATACACCGAAAGAATACGATTACTTTTCTGTATATAGCACTAACAATTTCAGGTATATCACTTTAAAAAGTTTTATTCAAACGCTATTTATAATTTCTATTTTAATCGTACAAAGTTAAACCTCGAGAAGACAAAAATCTGTTCTAATGCAAGACAATAACGTTCGAGATCCGATAATAATGCGGTTGAAGCGTAACATCTCGCCACGGAATCGACGAGAATTTCCGCATACTCGACAGTTAATAATTTTTCATTCCCCGCATCGAACCGTCCGATCACACGCGTAACTCTGGCTGCCGAGGCAGAGATCCGCGCGCGATCGGATCGAGATCCGTTTGGATAGATCGTATAGATCGGCTCTTCGTCCAAGGTCATCGAAAGACTATGATCGATATACACGCGCACGGCACCGTTTCTCAGGAAGCGTTTCTCGTTACCCGCTTGGCTAGGAGAACGAACGAGAGATTTCCAGGTGTCATGCTGGATATCTCACGAGCGGAGATGGTCGTAAAAGCCTCGCTTCGTAGCGCGTAGATACCGATCCAATGGGAAAGTCGGATCGTTCGATAACCCGGGGACCAAGTGACAAGCGCGATCGGATCAAACGTCTCCTTTAATTGGTGCTAGTCGACTCATTAACGATAGAAAATACTTGGCAACGCGAACCGTTCCCATTTTTGCTGTCTCTCTTTCATTCTTTCCACCCTTTCCTCGTTTTCGATGATATCGATAAGATTCTCCAAAGGATTCGATTCGACTCGATGCTAGATGCCATCATGGTGTTCCTCGACGCGTTTCATAGGATAAGTGTGTATAGGGGTGATTGTTTAGAACCAGTTGTTGGTGTGTACGCGAGATACAAGGATGTTCATCATCGTACGGTATACTTACTCGCTGTTCAGCACCCGGAAGGACTTGGGCGACATACAGTTGACGCTCCAGTCGGTGTTCCCGTGCTCGTTGCATATCGTTATCGAGAACCTCCCGTAGTTTGCCCTTATAAGGTGAATTAATTTACCCTCGCCGCACTCGATCCACAGTACTTTCCCCTCACAGGCGTACGCGGTGTCGTACCTCTCTATAACAGACAAAAATGAGCATAACGTCAGTAACGATTTTTGAAACAAATAACTCCGTACCTCCGCAGGAACAGTTTTTCATTATCTGGTGAAATACAACCAGATGGTCAAGACAGAAGCAGCTTTAACATTGGAGCTTGGCCCATACCTTATTTCATCGCTGAAAAGCGTACCTACGCAACGAGGCTCTAATTAGACGTCGCGATCGTCGAACAATGGAAAAGCGAATAAAAAAGCGTGGCAACGAGTCGGTTGTAAAGAAATACATAATAAATACCGAAGGGCCCGTTACTTCTGTACGCTGGCGATAGGTTACAGAGGGAGCTTCAATTACCGCGAATGAACAAGAAGCATGGAGAAAGGAACGAAAACCAGAGGGTTGAAGCTTTCCATGCGGCGCGAGTCAAGGACACGTCAAAGTAGCTCGCACGAAATTATAGTGTTGAACCGGCTGGAGGAAGATGGTGTTGGCGGCTTGTTGCCGGGCGCGAACGAGTCGTGGACCCATGCTCGGAGCGCGTAGTTGCTCGGATCGTGTCGCGTTGCGAAGTCTAATGGAATTAAGATAAAGGACGCTGGTGCATAGACGCGCGTGTACCCTGGTAATAAACAATGAGGGTCGCTGCGAAAAGAAGGGAAGAGAGAGAAATCTCGGCTGTACGGTTCGCAAGATCATTTAAAAGCAGTCCGAGATAGCCGGCTTCGTGCCTTTGTCGATTCACCCCCTTCTCGGATTCACCTTTCCAGGGATTTATACCGCGGAAAATCTGCCGGCGGGATGTTTCTTTTCAAAGCAAATTAGCGAATTTACGGGCGTGGTTCTCCACGAAGAAAAGTTACTCTTCCCTCCGAACTGTTGGTTACCGTTATAACCTGCAGGTTCTTCTCTTGTCTTGGGATGCTACGCGACACCGCGCCGCGACGACTCGTTCTCCACGAAGGCGTGGGGTTAGTCTTCTTCGCAGACGCGGTCTGTCAGGTTTAATGACCGCGAAAATGGCTCGAGTGCCGCTGGATTCTGTACAATTTTGTTCAAGATTGTAAAGCGGAAATGTACGAGATGAAGACGCGGATCCATGACAGCAGTACTTATAAAACATTAATTCGTTTCACACGAATGTTTTTCCATTGTATAATGATAAAACAGTGAAGCTTGTCATCCGGGTTAGCAGTATATTATTATCATATATTTATATACTATTGAATAAATGATGAAACAAAGCGAAAGCGGTCTGTGATTAGACTAATAGTCGTCTAATAATCACAGAAGATCGTAAAATTACGTTCGGACTTATTTAAATTTAGACGAGTCAGATCTGCCATAACACTGACCAGCCGTATGGATTGAACCCGCTGACGAAGGTGCCTCGAAGAAGGAAGGAGTCAGCGCGAAGTACCTCAGGGTACGGGCCGAGAGGACTAGCACGGGGGCAAGGACGAGAGGAGCTCTATAGCCGGGAAGAGGGGTTATAATAACTCTGTCCGTGAAAGCCCCGTCGTGAGTTCATTAGTTCCATACTGACGCGCTACAATGCCATTTTAGAGCGCTGTTAGGACTTTCCGCGAACAATGACGTAAATGTTTTTGATTACCACTGAAATACAATCCTCAGAAATATTAATACCTCGTCTTATAATTATACGTTGCTAAGTGAAAATAAGCGACCAAATAGCTTGTTGTAGCGACGATTGGGGACATCTGCATCTTTCAGGAGCATGAAATTATTCAGTGTTTCATTGATAAACGCGCAGACCTCGAAACCCGAGACGTACATTTCAGAAGTATAATCATGAGATAAAATTGTAATAGTCTTACCGGTATTGGTCATATTCTATTTCTGTAGAAAAACTGTATCGGAAGATAACTCAGATTATTAATAAGGCAAACTAAAATCGTGCTAATGGATATTCGATTCGACGAGGATGAACCAAGGAGGGGATACGCCGTAAAAACGGCTCGGTTCAAGCGGTGCGAAAAAATGCCGATTTTACGGTGTCTCGAGGCTTTCCATTATCGTAAAAGATCCGGAGGTATTCGTCTTAAACGAGAACAGAATCGCCGGTCACGCAATGAATTCCCCGAGTTGGGAGCACGGAATGGAAGTGGGAGAAATAGTAGATTTTATAGGATTCGAGCAATTTCTCGCCGTTTCCCTTCCACGAGTCTTGACGATTAACCGACCTTAGAAGACTGCCTCCCCGGTTTGCCAGCCAGTTTGTTCACCGTTAATTAACCGTGTCTCGATAACACCGTAAGCGGCGGGATAATCGATACACGGGGCGTCATCGCGCAGCTCGCGTTCAACACTCATGGAGAACGCCATGCGTATCACGCGGCTGTGTGCGTGTGTGCCAATAGCGATATAAAAAGTGCTACAGCTTGCAGCTACTGTAAACGGAGCTGGAACGAGCATCGTTTCCGTGAAAAGAGCACTGTCCTAACCGCGCCTGTACCTCGCCTCGGCTTGGTGTAACTCTCGGTTCCGTTTTCCGTCACTCGCAGCTGCGCCCTGTTGCAACCGGTGCATTCTCTCGGTGCACCTCTAACGTGAGCACGATGAAAAAAAGGCCGCGTTCAAGCTGACGTAAAGGAACACGTTCCACCAGCCGGCTTCCTCCTCGAACCCGCCGGTCCTCTGGCATTCCTCCCTCTTTTATCACGGGAGACCAGTCACTTTCGTCCGCATTTTTTTTCCTCTCCTCGTTCGTCTGCGTTTAGCTTTTTTGCCCCGTTCCTCGTCGCATGAGAAGGGCTGGCGTCTTTCGGTGCTTCTGATTTTAAATGCAACCGGGACGCGGTTACGTCTTTTAACGACGGTTAAGGGTGTTCAGGTGTCGCCTGTATTTTCTCCTACGTAGTTGACACGAGTGCGAAAGACGCGAAAATAATGACGCACTGGACTAGCGTTAGACAATAGATACGTTGAACAGCGGTTATTAATTACGATTCATTTTAATGTGTGGAGACGATTCTTCGCTTTCAGAAACCAAACGCGGGATGTACTATTGTGACTGTGACTCAGTTTTCTCTCTTCCCTGGAGAATGCACATCGAGATAAGCAAAAGGGATTGAAGACTATTACCATTCGCGGAAGAGCTCGAGATTGAAATGTCGCGAGCTTTTCTCTGTTTCCCGTGATTCTGCTAGGTTTAAAAAAACATTTTCTCACGGAAACAGACGGTCTCGAACGCGAAAGATAATGACGAGACGACATGGTGAGAGGACATGCGCAATAACCTGTCGACGAGCGAGTGAAGAGAACGAGCAGGAAAATCTGCCATCTTTTTAGCAGAGTTCTCTCGTCGTCTGACCCTCGCATTGCACTTTGACGGAGTGCAGTCGAATGAATGCCGTGAAAAAGTTTTTAACGAGTGCACTCCTACTCGTGCGAGCGTTACAACGCCCGGCTGCGTCTCGACGAAAATCACGACGACGACGACGACGACGGCGACGATATTCGAAGCTCTAACGGCGCTATCGTTTGGGAGAAAAATATCCCGGGCGAAAATTGCCGACTGCTGTTACCCCGTTTCTTTCCCGGCCGCGTTCGACGCGAGAAATAATCATAAAGAGAGAACGATGCGGAGATGCATCGAACGAAGTCCTTCACGTGCATTCTGCACGCTCGCGATCTTACTTTTCCCTCTTTGGAGCTTGAGCAAGACTAGGTCAAGCGAAAACACAGAGCATCTACACGTTGAAATATTCTTTCTTCTTGCTGAAGCAGAAACAACAACCGCGAGGATCTTTTTCAAGATTAATCTACAAATACAATTCCTTGTAGCTTTATTAAATACGAGTTTCTTTTAGATTTACTTGTAAATTTGGTTTTTCATCTTCGTCGACGCAGGTACGTAAAAAAGAAAAGAAATTATGGAGGAGCACCCAGGAGTAACACAAAGGGAATTAAACTCGATTGTCGATGCTCGTAGTATCATCCCCTCGCGTCAATTAACCGCGTCTCAATTGCATAACATCTAAGGAGAGGATCTAATCAACCGAGTTTCTCGAGATTGCCGGGGAAACACGAATTTCCATTCCCTGGATCCCATTGAAGTTCTTTGAAGTCGGCCAGTTCGTCGTAGTATGTATCGCGATAGACGGCTCTCGTCTGAGAAGGTGAGAACGCCGCAGGATTTTGCGCGGTCAATGCGCGCCCTGAACTCTACCCGGGGATTCTAAGTACGGATTTCGAGTTGCAACGGGCTTCAAACTTGCACCCCGGGAAGCTGTCCTCGTTCGTGTGCCTCCGCGTTCCTGCAAAGGCTACCACGTGTGCATCGGTACGAGTGGCGTAAGTGCGCGAGTACCCATAAACGATGGAGTGGAAGTGCTTGAATACCTGCAGGACCGACTCCCGGGACAAAGTTTCAAGGGATCTGCGAGTCCGAGCATTCGTGTATCGCGGCTCGTCAAATCGTCCTCGAGGTCTGCACGCTGCGTTTAGGTTAATAACGATGACAAAGTAACTGTAATTCCTAATTGCAAACTTATTCGCTCTAAAAGGGACTCATAGACTTGAGAGAGCTTTTGTAGAAAGAAATTTGAGCATCGTCGGTGGACGGAAGAAGACAGAGAAGATAATAGAGAAGAATGATAGAGCAAAAAGAAAATTGCAGGCAGTCCGGTATTAGTGTTTCTCAGCAAGGGATAATTAATTATCGACATTGCTCCATCACAGAGAGACCGGGCTATCAATAAATATCGATAGTTCTCGATTAATTCCAGATTCGCCTTGCTACGCGAGACGCAGCTCGTCGTACCGTACCCTGAAAAGACAGGCTAACCCTGCGCCGGTCGTTGCGTGGACGGCGCGTGGAGGGAAAAGAGGAGAATTGCAGTTTACCATTAATGACTTCGGGTAATAATATATCGGAGGTCCGGTAAGCCGTGCCTCCTGCTGCCGCGGCGGTCGACTTGAAAGGGCCGACCTAACAGCGGGATGTCGTCAGCCCGATGCGGTCTTAGGCCTCGAAACCTTTACCACGATATGTACCAT